TTTCAGGTCACATGACTTGGAGAGGTCAGGTTAAGGCAAGCGTATTTGTCTTGAACAAATGTATTTATGTGACTGGTTGAATGGTTGAACGCCACACTCAGCAATATCCCAGTCAGAATGACTGATAGTAATAGAAACCTGCCTGTCTTGTTTTAAAAAAATCGTAAACTGGGTTTCTTTAATTAGGTTTCACATGTATATCAATGAAGATTTCTATGCATGAACAATGACCTCCATGACCCTGTGATGATTACTGGTCAAAACATCCATTCGATCTGAGAGACGACTAATGTGTATTGAGCTAAAGAATAGTTGTTTGGCAACTCTTTTGAAAGGAAAAAATTGTCTTGAATTGTTCTTTAAAATTTGAATATTTTATTTAAATCTTTTGTGAAATGAGTTTCTATAACCACGTGAGGTGAGGTCAGATTAAAGGGGTTTAACGTTGCGTCCAAGATTATTGCACTTATCATGTGATGTTATGTGTGTGTGTGTGTCTCTGCTTGTACTAGTCTGGACTAAGGTCAATTTTATAGTGCTAGCCCACTGAGATATCATGCCGCAGTTTAACATAGATACCCCACTCAGACACAGTATACTGACTCCAAGCCGACCTTAATGCCAAGTGCCAGACAGGGAAGGTAACAACAAGTACCATCTTTTAACGCCGTTGGGTATGACGCGGCCGGGGATCGAATCCTGGACCTTCCTCTCTCTGGGCGGACGCTCTTCCACTAGAGCACGGAGGCTGCTCTATAACTAGGTCTGACCAGTATACAAATGAAGATTTCTATGCATCAGTTACTGACTGGTGGGGATTCCTGGTCAGAAAATGTCCCAGTTCATCCTTCCAGCTTTATGACGGCGGTCTGTAAATAATCAAGTCTGGACCAGAAAATCCAGTGATTAATATCATGAGCATCGATCCACGCGATTGGGATCGATGACATGCATCAACCAAGTCAGCGAGCCTGACAACCCGATCCCTTTAGTCGTCGCATACGACAAGCATAGTCGCCTTTTACGACAAGCATGAGTTGTTGAAGACCTATTCTACCCCGGATCTTCACGGGTCCCGCACATTGTGATCTGTCTCAGTGTGTGGCTTTGTACCCTGATGGTAGGAATCACTGCTTGCAACTGTCGGTCTGACTCGCCAAAGAATAAATTTTACAGACTGCTGTGATAACAGTCCGTTATGCAGACCCTGAAACAAATATATCCAATATAGCCCAAGACTAGATCAGCCATCCTCTTAGTTACCTCAAGGAGGGCTCGAACATAAATCAAGAGAGTCTCTGGTCGTCTTTTTATTACATTTTATTGAGATAATTAAACAACTGTTAGTCTAATGATGACACTGCCTACCTGCATATACAGATTACCTTCTAAAACTGACAAAGAGTTTTTGTGAAAGAAAATGACTTTAACTCTTTACCTTTTCCATGAATAGTTCCCCGGCCGGGGATCGAATCCTGGACCTTCCTCTCTCTGGGCGGACGCTCTTCCACTAGAGCACGGAGGCTGCTCTATAACTAGGTCTGACCAGTATACTAATGAAGATTTCTATGCATCAGTTACTGACTGGTGGGGATTCCTGGTCAGAAAATGTCCCAGTTCATCCTTCTTGTCCTAAGTGACGACTATAATCAGGAAACAGGTTTTGTTTGTTTGTTTGTTGTTTAACGCCTCACTCAGCAATATTCCAGCTTTATGACGGCGGTCTGTAAATAATCAAGTCTGGACCAGAAAATCCAGTGATTAATATCATGAGCATCGATCCACGCGATTGGGATCGATGACATGCATCAACCAAGTCAGCGAGCCTGACAACCCGATCCCTTTAGTCGTCGCATACGACAAGCATAGTCGCCTTTTACGACAAGCATGAGTTGTTGAAGACCTATTCTACCCCGGATCTTCACGGGTCCCGCACATTGTGATCTGTCTCAGTGTGTGGCTTTGTACCCTGATGGTAGGAATCACTGCTTGCAACTGTCGGTCTGACTCGCCAAAGAATAAATTTTACAGACTGCTGTGATAACAGTCCGTTATGCAGACCCTGAAACAAATATATCCAATATAGCCCAAGACTAGATCAGCCATCCTCTTAGTTACCTCAAGGAGGGCTCGAACATAAATCAAGAGAGTCTCTGGTCGTCTTTTTATTACATTTTATTGAGATAATTAAACAACTGTTAGTCTAATGATGACACTGCCTACCTGCATATACAGATTACCTTCTAAAACTGACAAAGAGTTTTTGTGAAAGAAAATGACTTTAACTCTTTACCTTTTCCATGAATAGTTCCCCAGTATCTCATGCTTGTTTTGTTTGTTGTTTGTTTGTTTGTTTATTGTTTAATGCCGCACTCAGCAATATTCCAGCTATATGACGGCGATCTGTAATTAATCGAGTCTGGACCAGACAATCCAGTGATTGATATCATGAGCTTCGATCTATGCAATTGGGATCGATGACATGCATCAACCAAGCCAGCGAGCCTGACAACCTGATCCCGTAAGTCGTCTCTTACGACAAGCATTGTCGCCTATTACGGTAAGCATGGATTGTTGAAGGCCTATTCTAACCCGGATCTTCACAGGTCCCACACTTGGAGTGAGTAAGTACAGTTTAATGCTGCTTTTAGCAATATTCCAGCAATATTATGGCGGCAGACACCAGAAATGGGCTTCACCCATGTGGGTAATCGAACCTGGGTCTTGGACGTGACGAGCAACTGCTTTGACCACAAGGCTACCCCACCACCCCTTTAATTTTACAGGCTTGAAGAGTATTGTGTGATATAAGATTTCATAGGCTAAATGTTAGTCTAGCCCATATGCCTACAACATCAATATGAACACCATGCAATGTTGATGTTGATGCAATGTTCCAATGGTTGCCCGACTCCAATCTAGGCACCTACAAGCACAAATTCCACCATAACTAGAAATACAATGAGATCTATACTTCACCTGCAATTCAAAGGACAGGAAGTCGAGTGATCATTGGTACGTACAGAGTTATCGGAGGGGATATAAATCCCATTTGTCTTACAAGCGATTGGACATCAATTGAAGACTACCCCGGAGAAATGAGGCGAGTAGATGCCCCGGGGGAAACAGTTGGGCTGTCACGGTTAAGTTGGGCACTTGTTACACCAGGATATGTCTCTGGGGGTGGTCAGTAGATCTGAGGGGGTACCTTGCACGGGACAACTGAGAGATAAGATGTCACACTTGTGAGAATAGGGGCTTAGAATTAATTGTTATGGAGTAAATGATGGTGTTGGGGTTCTGTGGTCATCTGGAACATGTGTGGATGTTTCATAGAGATGAGGAGGATGGATGGATGGTGTGTATAGTCCTGGTGGAATATGTGTCAATGTTTAACATGTAGGGTAAATATACTACTCAACAGAAGTTTAAGAACACCTGATTTTTTTATATGACTATAATTAATCTGTCTTGTCTTTCAACAGTGAGTGAGTGAGTGAGTGGGTGGGTGGGTGAGTGAGTGAGTGAGTGACTGGGTGGGTGGGTGGGTGAGTGAGTAAGTGAGTGAGTGGGTGGGTGGGTGGGTGAGTGAGTGAGTGAGTGAGTGAGTGAGTGAGTGAGTGAGTGAGTGAGTGAGTGAGTGAGATGAGTATTGATGTGAGTAAATGAGAACCATTTGGGTGTGGTTGTGGTTGTGGGTGTGGGTGTGGCTGTGGGTGTGGAGAAAACCTTAATATTTATACATTTGGAAAAATTTTGTTGTTTTGTTTTGTTTTGTTTTTTGTTGTTTAATGTCACATAATTCAAATATGTAGCACTGTAGCACGACGGACAGTAAATAATAAAACCCCATGCCTGAAAGCCTGCCATGGTTTTTGCCTATTCTCACAAGCCCACCCACCACAAGAGATGACAGGTCTCCTCTTGTAATCCACAAGAATGTATTGAATGGTCCTATTCTTGCAGGGTTCTATGTTCCCGTGGCACGCCGTCAGCTGCTTGCTCCAGGACAAGCGCACAGGAAGTGACGAGTTGTCACTGAAATAATATTTCCCACAATGCCCCCTGTACTTGTGAGCATGCATGAAATAACCAAGTGCAGCTAGAAACATCCATACAGGCCGACCACACTTCAATGACAATACATGAACTGACAAATCTTCTGGTGGCCTGAAACAACGAACTTCCTTCATAACAAACAAGCTAAAAGAAAAGGTTCAACCAGGTTGTATAGACGCAGGTAAGAAGGTGGGAAAAATGTATTTAAGTTAGGGGCTGACCTTTATTTTCTGAGGTGTGACCTGGGATTTGTTTTTGAACAATAAATTATCTGTTTCTATAAATGCAAGAAAAATATTATTCATTAAAAAATGGGAATTAATTAATCGTAACAACATTAAGTTATGAAAAATAATGTATAATAGGTCCAAACAAACTGATTTGCTCCTTTCATAGAACAAAAATATGTTTTGAAGTGCTTTCTGAAAAATTCACTTAGAAATGCACAAAGGGTCCCCCTTCACACACATGCACACCCCACACCCCCACACACACCCCAAAGGAATTAATTGGTCAGTCAGTCTCTAGCATTTTCTACTTTCGCCTACTGATATGTTATTTGGATGTGTAGCCCAAAGAACTGATTTAATCCAATTTTATAAAATGTCTTGCTGAAAAGTCCCAGTCACTAACACTGCTCCAGTATATCGTTACATCTGTAATCACATCACACACCCAGATTCCAAACACCAAGCGTCTTGGAGGTGACTTCAAGGTCATAAATGTGTTGTGGGTGGATACGTGTATTTAGTACATACAAGATGAAAGACAATCAACACCTTCCGTTCGGTTGTTTTGTAAGGGTGGGATTACACCAGGGGTCAAGTGATCACCATTGAATGTTGACCTATGATATAACAGGACATAACGCATCTAACTGTAAAAGGTGGACCAATGACATCAGAACTAGCAGAGTCATCAGTGGGAGATCAAAGGTCATGATGAGCCCAGGTAAGTTAGGAGGAGATAGGTAGCTGGTAATTGACCCTCAAATTGACCCCTAAAAGAGGGATAATTTGTAAGCAGGGATAACAGCGTATCCCTAGACCAAAGACCACCATGTAGGAAGGGAGCTAGATAGGTAGTAAGATGGCACACTCTCCCTCTGAAATTGGATTAATTTATGGTACAATGGTAAGGTAATGGACTGAAATTAGCAAGTGTATATTTATTTTGGGGTAGGGGTTATTAAAATGGTTTGGTATTTTGGGTTCTGTGGGTAAGGGTGGGTGCTTGATCCAGCAATGATCTGATGTTTAGGAAACTGTAATGTTGTATAATGTTGCATTGTGATGTTCTCAGATCAGTTTAAGGTCATGATGGCTGATGAAGCAGTAGATAGGGAAGGTCCTTAAATCAAATGAGGTAATTGGTAATTAATCTGCCATTGGACACAGAAAGATCTTTTTTGTCTGTGAACATGATGTCATACAACTGAGCAGGACAAAGATGCACAAAGCAATCTGTGTTAATGTAACTAAACGACTCCATGCTCAAATGTGAGACACTTACCTAGGACTGCACCCAAAGATTGATCCCGAGCCTTTTGCATGTCAACATCGCTAATCACACCAATGCTTGGACTATGAAAAAATTTCTTTAGAATAATTGTATTTTTTTTTCTTCAAAAGAACCTTTCCTCTTCTGCAGTTTTCATAGTGGAATCAAAGAAACTAGACTTAGTTTAGTTTAATCTAGACTAGCCTAGATTTTTAGTGAATAAATATCTATCATCCATCCATCCATCCATCCCACAGGACAGCACAGGACTAATTGCTCACTGGCAACTCAGGATATGAAATGTCTTGGGTTGGAACACAATTCATGTAGGACCAACACAGAAGCACATCTTAAATTACCTAAATATCACTCCCCTATGTCGATGGACCAGTAATGAGCAAACACAGCTCATCAACAAAACAGTCACTTTTATTGAAAAGTAACCAAATCACACATAAGTTCAATGTTTAGAAGAACATACTAAAATAAATTACAAATATCTCCATTAATAAATGAATTAACTATTAGGTTTGATAATGATATATATTTCATTGTTAATTCCACAGAAGGCTTGGAACTCAATATTTACCGATAATCCTTGTAGGTCGTAGATTATTTGCTGAATAATTAACTTGTGACCCACCTGGAGAAAATGGGTGCTAGGATACAATTGTACTGTCATGGCATAAAGACATTTGACGTCACCTTCTTCAGTGAAGATAGCCATGTGCGATGTCATGTATCTCTGTAATAAATATGAATTGAACCTTGTGATTTGTATTTTTGTATTCTGTAGTTCTAAAATATAATGAAAAGTCAAAATGTGATTTTTCACCCATAAGGTCCCTTATCACATGGTTGGTCATTATTTCTTCAAGATTTTTATATGACATGTAACAAACCAAAAAAGATAGAGAGGAGGTCACTACATGTCAACCTGAATACATTATTGTTGACATTCTCAATATCTTTTTAAGTAAACGTAAATTGTTTTTTTCTTAAGATGGGATAACAGTCCCTCTGTTGATGGTATATCTCCTTCTGTATCTGAGGGAAGTCAATTACTGAACACAGAGATGGCAAGATGGCTTCCCGGCCTTCAATACACCAAGGAGCATGGGATTAACAGAAGTTCAAACAAGAAATTACCCCATTGTCACATCTCCCGATAACAAAGCTTACAACAATGTTCTAATCCTACCAATAATGGAAACACTACACAGAATGTGATCTAGTAGAAAAATGAAAACTTCAAAGGTTGAATGATGAAATATGAGATGACGCGATTAATTTAGATAAACCTTCTTATGAACTATAAAACAGGGACTACACTACTTTAACTTGAGTAATGAGAAGTGGGAGCCATCTTTAAGGCAATGATGGCCTGGTAGTTTCAAGATTTCAGATACCATGGAAATTGGGTTATCCCAATTCCCAATTTAAGCAGTGAAGAAAACTGAACAAATCCTTGTCAAAGAGGAAAGCAAGCCTAGTAAATTGGGCTATGCAATTCTGAGATTAAACTTCTATTACAGCTTGAAACGATTACATATGGAACAAATCTGGTTTGTAATAGTCCGGTGAGCCTGTATGAGACCTTCAACACTGAAATTGTGTTATGTCTGATCTAATCCTATAGCTACAAACAGGGTCCTCTACAATAACAAAGAATTAGGTTAACTTAGGGACCGAGTGACCCCTAGTCTGACCCCGAAAATTGGGACGATGTTATTTCTGATTCAGATCCATGATCGTCAACACTGTAACACTTTAACCACCTCAACTACTTAACACTTGAGGTGATGTCTCATAATACGTCATTGAAAACCGACCCCTGAAATTGTCGGTGTTGACCCCATTCAAGGATTCGTTTTGTCGGAAGGCATGATGTTGCTTAACTGAGATCAAAGTGGGAGATACTGGATGACATCATCGAGTCATAATGAAGCAGAAAATTAAAGATGGGGGCATGACAAGTGGCGACACCTAGAGGCGAAATGATACACTATCCAAACCAAACAGTCTTTTTCTCAGCAGCAAGAGATCACCGGGATTTCCTTACTTGCATCATTCCTGATTAAAAGTCAATTGGTTTAGTCGACATCCCTCACCACCTTGACCTCGAGGTCACACTACCCCTAGGGGTGCAATGAGTAGATGAGACCCCGGCAACTGTTCTTTAATTGTGCTTCGAGAGGAGTATGTTACATCTAACAAGAAATAGTTTCAATTAAGGATTGTTTCATCAGTTCAAGTTATGAATTATGCATGATGGCCTGGAAGTGAAACCATTTCAGAAACCGTGGAAAAAGGGTTGTCCCAATTTGTATTTTGAGCAGTGAATAAAACAAGGAATCCAAGTTAAAGAGGGTAGCATACCTCGTAAATTGGGATCAAACTACGTTTCAGTCCATCAAGTCATGAAATGAAAAAATGTGAGATAAAAAGTGATGAATCTGAAAGTCAGTGTTTCACGAACATGAGACAATGAATTGATTGAGCTAAGGTCAATTCCTAGAAATGGCCAATGTTACATAATGCAGATTTACCTGGGGCTACCTTCTATTTTGAAGTCATGGGGATTCTCAGTTTTGCTGTTTGGGGTTCACAGACATGAATTTGGGGCCCAAGGGTCACCACAGACCAAAAACAAATTAAATTCTTTCAGCATTTCAAGAACATTTTCACCTGACCACCATTCAACTCTTCCTCAGCCTGTGTCCCCCATTAACCAATACCTCAAGAAGAAGGCTCTCCTTGAATACTCCCCCCTGTCCCAGGGTCTCCAGAAGAAAGTTCTCACCCACACCTCAATCTGTGTATCCCCTAACTAACACCTCAAGAAGAAGAATCCCCACCTTCCCAGCACCTCAAGAAGAATCCCCATCTTCCCAGCACCTCAAGAAGAATTCCCACCTTCCCAGCACCTCAAGAAGAATTTCCACCTTCCCAGCACCTCAAGGAGAAGAATTCCCCCCCTCCGAGCACCTCAAGGAGAAGAATTCCCCCCCTCTGAGCACCTCAAGAAGAATTCCCACCTTTCGAGCACCTCAAGAAGAATTCCCACCTTCCCAGCACCTCAAGAAGAATTCCCACCTTCCCAGCACCTCAAGAAGAATTCCCACCTTCCCAGCACCTCAAGGAGAAGAATTCCCCCCCTCCGAGCACCTCAAGGAGAAGAATTCCCCCCCTCCGTGCACCTCAGAAGAATTCCCACCTTCCGAGCACCTCAAGAAGAATTCCCACCTTTCGGGCACCTCAAGAAGAAATCCCACCTTCCCAGCACCTCAAGAAGAATTCCCACCTTCCGAGCACCTCAAGAAGAATTCCCACCTTCCCAGCACCTCAAGGAGAAGAATTCCCCCCCTCCGAGCACCTCAAGGAGAAGAATTCCCCCCCTCCGTGCACCTCAAGAAGAATTCCCACCTTCAGAGCACCTCAAGAAGAATTCCCACCTTTCGAGCACCTCAAGAAGAAATCCCACCTTCCCAGCACCTCAAGAAGAATTCCCACCTTCCGAGCACCTCAAGAAGAAGGCTCTCCTTGAATACCTCCCCCACCCCTTCCCAGGTCTCCACAAGAAAGTTCTCACCCACCCCTCCACCTGTGTCCCCCCTCAAAATAAATTCAAGCATTAAAAGCATCCAAGGATGAGGATGACCTGCTGACAACATCAGTGTTGGATTTGCATCTGATTACATCACCCCCTCTCCCCACCCCACCAGGACAAGGGTGGAGGAATGTTGGGGGCTGCCAGAAACTGTTACCCTCATCCTCCGGGAGTTCCATCTCTCCACAAGTATGTCTTTGAAGTGGTCCAAGTGTAAACAAGTGCCAGCATCTCAGTTTGTGGGGTGAGATATTTTAATGGTGGGGACATGGATAGTATGTAACAGGTTGATTGCAAGATTCACTCCCTGGTTGCCTCGTTGTTCTATGATGTCATCGCTTAGCTGGACTCTTTGATGATGAAAACTGGAAATTCTTCCACAGAGGACATGATTTGATGAACATGGGAAAGGTCAGAATTTTGTGTGAGTTCTGAAACATTCATCGTCTTCAATCTGTTTGTTCCACTTGATCAGCTATGTAACTAGACACTTTATGCCAGTTTTAAACAATATTGATTTCATATTATAGTAATGGACATAGACAGTGGGCTCACACAGCTTACCATAGTCCTGCGCCATGACTGTGGAACATAGATTTTTTAGATATTTGCTTTTACTCAAAGGCTAGGCAAGTCTAGATCAAACTAAACCAAAACAGCAGAAGAGAAAAAGTTCTTTTGAGGACAACAATTATAATTGTTGTAAAGAAATGATTTCATTGAGTAAGTGTTAGTCTAAGCCTACAAGTGCGAGGAGACAAAGTTGGATCTGCCAAGATGAGGGACAGAATTGTGTTGGACCAACATCAGTACTGTAACTACAGCCATGAGTGAGTGAGTGAGTGAGTGAGTGAGTGAGTGAGTGAGTGAGTGGGCCATATGAGTGAGTGAGTGAGTGAGTGAGTGGGCGAGTGAGTGAGCAAGTGAGTGAGTAAATATATTATACTTACAAAACAGAAACAGTGTGAGATTGTATATGTGACAAATAATATTTCCTAGCATGGTCAGCATTTGTCTTCAGCCACATTTCAGACAGATATTACACAACACAAACACACACACACATGCACACACACACATGCACACACACACACACACACACACACACACACACACACACACACACACACACACACACACACACACACACACACACACACACACACACACACACGCACATCCCTGGTTCTATCTCATATCTCATCCATACATCCTGGTATCCCACAACACATCCTCCCATCACATCACTTCACAAGGACAACCAAACCACATCAAGTTGGTGTTCTGCCCAATTGCACCGCTGAGAGACATGGGGCTAATCCTTTCACAGATTTATGACTTAATGATTTGGGTTGCATCACTGTCTATTATGATGGCCAGTGTTCCACAGCCTCCCTGGCTCTCTCCCCCCCCCCCCCCCGCCAACAGGTGGCCGCTGATGGTATCTCACTAGTTACTGATGGACACAAAGCAATGTCCTGCTCTACGTCTTCCACTAAAGACAATAATTTGGTGTTTGCAGACCTAGTGCATAATCTGCAGCCATTGTGATTACAAAAAATGTTATTAAGTTGGCTTCCATCCCAACCAAGAATCTTCAGATGGCTCCTTACATGGGAATATTCCTTAGAATAATATGTTTTCTTGAGAATGAGTGAGTGAATTTTGTTTTACGCCGCTTTTAGCAATATTCCAGCAATATCATGGCGGGGGACACCAGTAATGGGCTTCACACATTGTACCCATGTCGGGTTCTTGAGAATGATGCTACCTTATGCATCTACAAATTCTTCCAAATCCTCTGATGATAAAATTGGTTTATGGGAATGCCGATTCCAAATGGAATTTTCTGGGCATCAAAGTTGGGTACAAAATGTCCGATTAGGAATTGTTTTACTGGAACCCCGTCAAATACTATTTAGATACACGTATAAAACAATCTGGTCATGCATACATATAGCTGGTATATTGCTGAGGACTTAAATTGGGACTTTTATAAAAGACCTTATTTTCTTAAATTAAGGGGTATTTTAATATTTCATTCAATAAAAAAATATAAAACAGTAAAGCCTCTTCTTGTTTATTGGTCCTGTTGTCACTGAAATGCAAGTCACCTCTGTATTTCGTGTTTGAAACAATACAAATTACCAGGCTGCCATCAGGACCCACATACTTAAGAAACTCCAGGGCCTGACTAAACTCTTCAGGCCCTCATTCGAAAAACTACAGCTTATAGAGACAAATCAATTGACACAGAAATTTACTGCAGGCCATAAGGACTCGCATAACTTAGAAACTGCAGGCCTGACACAAAATTTACCTGCCACTGGCCTGTGGGCAGGCGTTCTTTTTTAAAACTGTCTGCAAAGCAATACCATTAAGTATTACTATAATAACACAACTTTGCAATTTTTGTATTCCTATTTGTGACTTTTTACTGACATTTGTTTCAGGCATGGGTCCGAATATCGGCCTCTGAGCAGGTCCAGATAAATCCCCGAAATACCAATCACTCCATGACCAGCTTCACATAAAGGCTTATATACAGACAACACCTTCTCCCACGGGCTTATACCCAATAGATCATGATAACCACATATCTCGTGTATCAGGTCCAGGGAGGATGTGATGGCCGCCGGTCTAATGAATCCGGGAGTTTATTATCCCCCGTTGCATCAGATTGCCGTCCACATCCTCAGCTCCTCTTGATGCTGCTGGAGAAGCTGATGAAGTCATTTCACAGCTAATTGAGCCGCCACACTCTATCTGAGACATGGTGCAATGGTTACGTCACACCATCAAATACTTGTCCAGACAATTATTCAGCTTTGATCAGAATCTGGGGGGAATTGTCCTCCTTAATTAAGATAGGAGATTGTCTTGGGATTAATTGAAATCGGGGTTAAAGAGAAGATGCTTGCTTAGATGTTCCTATAGTTTTCAACTTTACACTAATTTGTTTATCTGAGACACCATTTATGGATGGATTCTGTCCGAACTGTGCTGGCTACTGGTTTAAGGGAATGATGAATTGGACCTTCGGACTTCTCTTTCATAGAATTCTTGTAAAATATCGCCATTCCTGTTGGGTGCGGTTTATTTGTTTTACAAACTCAGATCTCTTCATTTCTTGTAACATTTGGAAGACTGAAGTGTATTAACAGTTACAGTTAATGATGTAGTGTGGATCCTGTTAGACTGGACAGTTCTGTTTACAAAATGACCATATAGATTTATAGGTGTCGGGATCAGAGACACATAGTTAATTAAATTGTTGATCACTGTTCACCATCATCTTTCTCAATGTTCTTTAGGGCTTTGGCCAAAACATCCGGGCCCTGTTCTAAGAGATCCTAGCACCATGACTACCATAAACCAATGTTAAAGTACAGAGGTTACATCAAGGTCGCTTTGTGACCGCCACCGTGGTCCAGTGGTAGAGCGCCTGGGGTTGTCAGACCTAGTTATAGAGATGGTCTCCGTGGTCCGGTGGTAGAGCCACTGGACCAGACAATCCAGTTATTAATATCATGAGCATCAATCCATGCAATTGGGATCGATGACATGCATCAACCCAGTCAGCGAGCCTGACCACCCGATCCCGTTAGTCGCCTCTTACGACAAGCATAGTCACCTTTTAAGGCAAGCATGGGTTGCTGAAGACCTATTCTACCCCAGAATCTTCACGGGTCTATGTGATAGGTCTCTATCGTATCTCATGAAGTACAGAAAGAACAAAATGTCTTCCCTCTGTAGGTACTTTGAAACAATAAAACTATATGAGGTAAGGTGTTTGGTAGACAGGGGGACAGGGTTGAAAATCTAATAATTTATTAATTATGGTTCAAGGCCATCCGTTTTTCTTTGAGTGTTTCACATCTCCCTTTGGTCCTGATTTAACTCTAATGCAGGTGATCCAATTATTTTCTCTCTTGACCTTCATCTAAAACAGGTCAATCGTTTAGTCATGCTCTGAGTCCGACCTACACGTCTGCCTCCGTGGTCTTGTGGTAGAGCGTCCGCCCGGAGAGCGGAATGTCCGGGGTTCGATCCCCAGCCACGTCATACCAAAAGATGTTAAAAGATGGTACTTGTTGTTACCCTGTCTGGCGCTCGGTATTAAGGGGCTAAAACAAGGACTGGTCCGCTCGGATTCAGTATACTGTGTCTGAGTAGGGTATTCATGTTAAACTGCGGCATGGTATCTCAGTGAGCTAGCACTATAAATTGGCATCAGTCCAGACTAGTACAAGCAGCCACGCAAACACGTGCATGCACGTCACTATATAAGTGCAATAATCCTGGGCACGACGTTAAACCCAATTTCACCTCACCCTACCTACACTGTGACAAGACTTCACTGAAAACAGAGTTGACATGGATTTCATCTTCTTTATTTTTTCAATGCAAAGTTTCGGTACAGATGCAATGCCTCCGTCTTCATTGATGCTGCAGAATCTAAATGGCTACAAAACGATATTAGAATCTATCTTTCTTAAACTTTATGAAAAAGTCAAAAGTCACTAAAAATAAAATAAAATATATGAGACTGGCAGCATTCACTCTGTCATTGTTGTGATTAACCCAGGCTTTAGATCTAGCTTCCTCCTATTCAAGCTTCTTCTTTGAAGAAGGATCAATGTCATAGATATCCACACCAGGCCAAACTCCTGATAGGGGGTGGAGTCCCAAGACTGGGAGTCTCAGATGACTCGGCCAATCAGACTTCAGTCTCAGATGACTCGGCCAATCAAACTTCATTAATGCCCCCATATAGACCCACCTGTATTGTACTCTATACTTAAGATGAAGCCTTGGAAACATTAACCCTTATGTGGGTTAAATCCCTAATATATACCTCATGGGGTAATGCATCTCCCTGTATCGACACTGGGACAAAGACTGCAGTGCTGCCTTCCACCCCACTGCCCCACCCCCATCCCACCACAGGGTTAAGGCCTCCAAACTGAGGGTCATATAATCCCCAGATGAATAAAGTGATCTTCAAAACAACAATGTATCTTTGTT